CCTGAAAAACTTGACAAGGTCTTGAGTAAGTTTTACGCCGAGGTGAAAAAAAAGAACGGAGATGACTACGAGCCAGAATCCCTTAAAATCATGCTGAGCGCCATTGAACGGTATCTAAAGGAGAAGAACTATCCATTGAGCATCGTGCGATCGAGAGAGTTTCACTCCTCACAAGAAATCCTCAATGCGAAAGCAATTTCCCTACGTCAACAAGGAAAGGGAAAGAGACCCAACAAAGCTCAGCCAATCACACCTGAAGAAGAGTCAGCCCTGTGGGAAAAAGGTCAGTTGGGTGATTTTAATGGAAAGGTCTTGACCAATGTCAACTTCAAAAATTTGACAGAACAACTGGGATTTCGTGGTCGCCAAGAACACTACGATGCATACGTAGAAGACGTAATTATAAGACAGCGAGAAGATGGAACTGAAGTTGTTGAGTTCAGGGAAGGTCCCACAAAAACGCGGAGCAGTGGTCTCACCATCAGGCGAAGAACAACACCACAGGCAATGTTCAGCACCGATGGCGGAAAAAGCGATCCAGTGCGGCTATTCAAGCTTTGGTTGTCCAAGCGACCCGAAGGAATGAAGAACACAGGGCCACTCTATCTTAGCATCATAAATCGTCCTAAATCAGCAGATGTTTGGTACACCAAAGTTCGAATGGGACAAAACACCATCGGCAATTTAATGAAATCCATGGCCTCCTGTCTCAGGACGAATAAGAAGCTGACGAACCACAACATGAGGAAAACATTGGTATCAAAACAGAAGAAGTCTGGTCAACCGCGCAATGTTATCTGTGAAATAACAGGCCATGCACGTGAATCTTCGTTAGACGACTACGATGAAATAGACGAGAATCACAGGAAAGAACTGTCTCACATTATCAGTGGATATAAAGAAGTGTCAAACGAAAATCAAGCAAACGAAGTCTCCCGCCAAAACACTGCAAATGAAGCCTCAAATCAAGAGATTGCAGTCCAACATAAACGAACACCTCTGGTTCCTATTTATCACGTCCAACAACAAGGCCAAATGCATCAGGCCATGGGCTCCAATCCTGGTTTTCAGCCGGCTGAATTTTCAGGATTTCCACCACGTTTTCCATTGCAGTCTCAATACCGCATGGAAGCCTTCAGTTGTGCTGCTCCCGTTCCATCGCAGAATTACACAGGCTGCACCTTCAATTTCTTCTCTAGAGACAGCCAGAATTCTCCACCCCAACCACAGAAGAAACGAAGAGCTTACATCATTGAGTCAGACGACGAGGACTGAACTTTAACACTTCACTATTTCTCTGAGTTATTGAGCACTTCTCGAATTTCTTGAATGAAAGTTGTCTTTCTTTTGATACGCTTGACTGAGTTTTTGACACATGACGTCAAAGTCTTTCTGTTTTGCATACAAAATGAGATGTAAAAGCGTTTCCGGTTCCGCTTTTTATTTAAAAACCGGCTCAGTACTGCATCAATAAAATATTCGAATTGACCAAGTCCTGTATTTGGGTGATTTCAAAATGGATGTAATAAAGTGGTAATTGAACTTCGTGTCGTGCAATTTTGGTCTGAAATCATACTTGTGATTTCAAATCGAACTCGCGCTGCGCGCTCGTTCGATTTTGAAATCACGCGTATGATTTCAGCCCAAATTGCACTCCACTCAGTTCAATTACCATTATTAATCGGCAACCATTAACACCATAACAACATTTTGCATTTTCTCTAAAGTGTTCTCCGCGACTGCAGTATGTGCTCAAAGAACAAATTTCATACAATTAAGGCAAGTGCATAGAAAGTTGTTTCCTGGGTACACGATCTGTAACTTCGACTGGGTTTGAACCAGTGCCTTCCTTTTCTTGTTTAACGGCCATTTATATGAACAAACAGACGGAGTTGCTATGGGCTCCCCCTTGGCGCTCTATTAGCCATAGATAAATAGATAGATTCTTTATTGAAATACATCGCAGCTCGTAGAGCTGAATTACGTATTTTCATTAAAATTCTAATTGAATGTGCAAACTTACAATTGAATAATACCTAAGAGCTGATGATATATAGTAATGTCTAAAACATTTAATAACTATGAACATCTTTTGAAATCATATTGTTAAAAGTCTAATAATTTAAACAGTAGTCACTAGGGCGCATGAAGCCTTAATAAAACTATTCTTAAATCTGTTTGTTTCACAGTGCGGTATGCTGAAGGATCGCGCGTGCCTAAGATTAAACTTGCTCTCATGTTGGGGTGGCAGTAATTTCCTGAGTTTTTAGCCAACTTCTTTATGTTGAGGATACTGCCGCATTGAGGATACTTTCAAGCGAGAAGGCAAGATGCCCGCGTACCACAAGAGATATGTGGATGACACACTGACTATCGTGCTAGACATAACATCAGCTGTCAATTTCCTCGAGAAGTAAACCCGTGCCATTCCTCTCTTAAGTTCACCATGGAAACGGAGAGTAATAGCAAGCTTCCATTTTTGCGCACTCAGCTGCTCAACAAACGCACACGTGTTGAGACTAAAGTGTACGTTAAACCCACAAATACTGGCCTCCTGCTGAATTGCAAGAGCCATGTAGACGACCGATACAAACTCGGGTTACTCAAAACTATGCTTGATCGAGCATTTCGGCTTTCATTTAATCGGTGTTACTTCTCTGAAGAATGTGATCGACTGAAATTATTGTTTTTTCGACTGAAATATCCTGACAAACTTGTCAACTCTACTTTTTCCACGTTTTATTGCCGCCAGAGCATCGGATCAACCTGTTTCGTCACCGACTGTCAGCGATCGAACAGATCCCATCCGTGCTGTCCAACCGTTTAAAAATCAGGCCTCAGCTGATATTGTACGTGTCCAACTTAAAGATTTGGATAAAGTATGTTTTCTGCACATCTCTCAATGTGCAGTCGTACTCGATTCGTGCAAAGGTTTTTAATTAGGCTTTTTAAAAAGGTTTTTCATTTTCATTTTTAATTATTAGCTTCTAATTATTTCTTCTTTTTTTGTATGTTCTTATTGCTTGTTTACACTTCCAGAAATTTTTCTCTATTACCATTGCTCTTCAGCCTTTTAC